TGTGCTGCACCAGGTCTGCGTTAAAGAAGAGGAAGAGTATCGGGGACAGCGGTGATCCTTGTGGCAAACCCGCCTGGGGCAGCTCTTGCCGTTCCGACGTGAACCCGTTTACCACAATGGTCGCCGTGCGCTTAGAGCAAAAGGCATCAATCCACCTAACCAGGGATTCTGGTACACCTCTTGCCCTGAGCCTCTGCAGTAGCCTGTCCTTGAAGACCCCATTGTATGCACCCTTCACATCGAAGCTGACCAGGCTGAGCACTTTCCTAGCCCTCCATGCTTTGTAGATTTGTTCTTGCAGCAGTAGGAGAGCCTGCTCAGTGGACCGTCTTTTCCTGGCTCCAAAGTGGTTCGCAGGTAGCAAGCCAAATGTCTCTGCCGCGTAGGACAGGCGTTCCGCAATGACTGCCTCCAGTTGTAACGGGCTGGGCCCGGTGTGAGCCTCGGCGACTCTCGGCAAATACCAAGACCCCTGATGAGGCTATTCCCACTCGCCCCACAGCACACCGAACCTTCTAGCAACGCGCTCAGACCAGCGCGCCTACGAGGATAAGTATGCTTGCGAGCTACCAGAGTCTGTCGTCTCTCCTTTTCTTCTCCAAGTTCAGTGTACTCGTAGAGTCGTCATCAGCTAGTTGCAATATACTACCTGAGACGTTACACTCTCGTTTCGAATCAGCAGAGTATTATTCTTTTCTCTTTTTTTTTTTTTCATCTCTATCACAATATTTCCTTTCTTTCCTTCATCTTTCCCTCTTACTATTTTTCCTTTCTTATTCCTCTTTTCTCTTTTCTCTTTTTCACCCGGAGGGTGTCGTTGGCGAGAAGCCAACATCCACCAACTTATCTATTCAGCAGGTCTCGACATGTGCCAGCACCGCCGATAGCGGCTATCGTAAGCAGCGTGCTGTCAAGATCGACATCGCATTGCTGGGGAGTCTCAAGAGATTGGATGTTCCGGGACTGGATAGCCTGAATTTAGGAGAACATTGGCGAAGGCTTGAAGCGTGGGACTATGAATCTGCATGAAATGTACCAAGGACTCTCCAAGTCTCTCGTCAATGATCCAAGTTAGAAACGCCTCACACAAGAGTCCGTTAGGCGGTTGTTGGATGCGACGAATGCGGCCAGCGCAAAGAGGGGAGGGAGTGCGGCAGAGAGAGACAATGAAAGGTTAGAGATCAATGCAAGCTGCTTTGCAAGATGCTCCTCATATCGCTCGGGAACCAGCGACTGGAGCCGAGTGGCCATCTCAGCAACGCAAGGGTTAAGCCCTGAGAAGGGGGTGCTCGAAAACCTTGAAAGTACGCTATTGGCAATGATGATGAAGCCAGAGCCCATGGTGGCCGCAGATAGGAAAGGACGTGCCGGTAAAGAACAACTTATGTACAATCCGAATCAGCAACATGAACCGTGATCGAAGATGGCTGGATGCGCTGTACCAGGCTGCTCTATTGCAGAAAGAACTTGAAAGACGGGCAGGTTTCTCATGAGATTACGCCCACACTGGCGTGAGACAAGTTGCAATCGTCGACAGACACGGTGAACGGCGATAGATTTGCTCGGGTGGAAGGAGTGGGAGAGTGCGAGTATCTGCCCGGCCTCGCTTTGATTGCATCCGGTTCCGACGGGTAATTGGCGACCTGTCCGATCGGACAGGTAGTCACTGTTTCTTCGGGGTAAGCTGCGTTGCGTTTCCAGTACTCGTCCCCACTCCTGGCGTCACACATACCACTTCCAGCCCCATACTTGAAGACTATTGGGATATCACTAGACCGATTTAAGCCGTGGTTGCATGTGGGTGTCATGCTAAGGGGTTTAGACGCGTACAACGCCTGTTCCCTTCCCATCGGCTCCCTGGACAATCCGTACGCTCGAGGTGTCACATCTGCCCGGGCGTCCTCGTGTGCCGGGGCCTGACGGGCGTGACGGTCGAGAAGGTCAAGACACCGACTCTCCAATTGGGAAACAACAGACGACTTTTGTCGGTCCTGGATTGATCGGACCGCGTAAGGTAGTACGCAACATTCTGTTGAAGCAGGGTAGTCTGCCAGAAAAGATAAATCTCCTGACGCAAGCGCTCCTGCATTGATGGAATCTTCCTTTTGGGAATCATTCAAAACTTGAACACATACCCGATACATGTCCACTATATCAAATCCCTCTCTAAGCCTCCCCCCACGAGCAAAGCAAAACAAGCTTATACATGGGATTGTCCAAGACACCACACGCCTTGATACCCCCAAAGATAGGATCATTCTCGACCTGCGCCACCTGGCACTTCTCCCACCAGTTGGGATTCGTCCCGTCACACTCAACTAGACCGACGGCGCCACGCCCGGCGCTCTTGTAGCGACAAGTACGACCGTGGGCCTTGAAAGCGCCGAGATCCGATCCCGGGAACTCGGGTTCCTGCAGGGTGGCGCCCGAGTCGGTCTTCTCGAAGACGCTGCGGCCGCCACAATAATCGGTGGCCCCGTCGCCTTCGTACACGGACCAGTAGCGCGACCAGTGCGGCGGGCCCCAGCCGTTTGAGGTGGTGAGCTCGCTAAAGTAGATTGCTACCCACCGCCGCGCCGACGGCGAGTCGGGAGTTGGCTTGGGCTGTGCCGGCGTTGAGGTTGCTGCGCAGAAGGAGCTCGTCGCGCACACGATGTGTCCGCCGCCCGGCGCTGCGCAGCGCGTATAGGTGCGAGTCGACGCGCAGTTGCTCGGCCAGGGCTCTTCCGGTATCTCGGGGAGGTTGGGCTGTGGAGTGGGGCTGGTGGTGGTCATGCCCGGGTCCAGAGGCGTGCTCGAAGAGGGTACGCCTGATCGCACGCTTGACGAGGTTACCGGGGGGCGGACGGTGGTGGTGGTAGTGGCGGGCAGCCGCGTCGGCTCGGTGAAGTGCGGCGGCTGGCCTGTCCGATCGGGCCGGCACCAGAAGTCGGTGCAGTACGTGCCGCAGTTGGCCATGCATGTGGGCGACGGCGTGCCGCTGAGGTAGGTGGCTGTCTTGGACGGCCCGAGCTGGTCATCTAGGCCCCCGTCGTCGCTGCCGCCGCCTCCGCCATCTCCTCCACCCTCGCCGGGCAGGACAGGACAGCTACCGCCGCTCTGCCGCCGGGCGATAGCCGCTCCTCCCGCCCGTTGCAGGCCTCGCTTCTTGGTGATAGGTGTCGTGACGCAGGAGTTGTCTAGGTCGTGAATCGAGATGTCCTTCAGTTCGCGGTTGATGTCGATCTTAGGGCAGCCCTCGGCATCGGGATCGAGTAGGCACGACGTGTCGTCGTCGAGCTGGCCGTTCCACACCGTCGGCACGAGCCACGAGAACTTGTTGCCGCTGTCCGACACGTAAGGTTCTTCTGACTGCGCTTCGAATCTTACCTGGACTGTCCGGCTGAGGGCCTTCAGCGTCCTCTTGACTATTTCGGGCTCGTCCAGTTGACTCTCCACCCCAGGCTCGTACACGAGCCCGCGGTAGTAGGCGACGAGGCCCGCGACCAGTGGCCCCGCATATGATGTCCCGTCGGCGATCTTCAGCGACTGGTCGTTCTCACGCGGGCCGGCCACGCGAACGGCCTTGCCGGGCGCCCAGATCATATCTGGGCCCACGCGAGAGAACATGGCCATGCGGCTCTGCTGGTCGGACGCGCCAACCACGATGAGATTCGGAATGTCCACCACCAGGGTCTGTGGGAGCTGGTTGATGGGGACCAGATCATCCATGTCGTTGTTGCGGGCGTTCCCGGCAGACATGACGACCGCAATGCTTTGGTCGTCGAGTACCTCAAAGATGTAGCCTACCCAACGCGTCAGCAAGCGAAGTGCAATCAGGCACCAAATAAGAGAGCCATATAGACATATATAGAGAGAGGGAGAGAGAATAATAAATAACGGAGGAAGGAGGTCTCTTACGAATCAGATCAAGCACGTCCTCCCACCCAGGCGGTGGCGGGTTAAATGACCACGTAAGGAGCACAACGGACCGGGCCTCAGTGCCGCGAGCGCTGATGTGCTCCAGGGTGTCCAAGAGTGCTTCGATGAGCATTAGATTCGAACCTGCCGTCGGCCTTCCTGAGTTGAGAAATTTGCCCCTAATCTGAGTCTATGAGGCATGTTAGTGTATAGGTATCTTCGGGACAAGATGTTGACCGTCCTCCAGTGCCATTGCCCCTTTCTTGTCCCTGGCCTTTACCACACCACTGTAGAGAGGGCCGGGCAGGGTTTCAAAATGTATCATATGCTCATCCAAACAGGGTGATTGCCATAGGGAGGGAGCGGGTTGTTTGTGGCCAATTGGGGGTGAGTGAGTTTGAGATGGGAGTTTGGGATGGGAGTTTGTGATGAGCGTGGGGGTAGTCAAACGGAAGGTGCACGTACGCCAACAAGTGTAACCTTGCCCATGCCGCAGACGCCATTTAGCTGACCCGCGACAACCGAAGCCGCGGCGGTGGCGTGATCGGAATCGACAGCGAGCTTATCATGCCATGCCCCGTATTCCCGAGGCTCGCGGAGAAACTCGATGCTGGCGCCGCTCGATGTTAAGGACTAGAGCATGTCAGTTACTTGACTCAGAATGCAGACTGGAAAAAGGTTACCGGGTGCGTCGCGTCAAACTGGTTCTCAACCACATAGACATACTGCCCCTGACACTCGGAGTCGTCCCGCTGATACTTGTAGGTGTGCGTCCAACGGTTCAGCCACCGTTGGCCGGAGTTGATGTTTGTTCTCGGCGGCACGCTGATGTAACCCAGGGCCCAGTGCGGTTTCCAATCCACCACTCCGTCTCTCTTGCCGAGCGTGTCTCGGTCCTCAGGCTCCGACTCTGTATCGTTGAAAACGGGGGCTGCATCGAATGAAGCGGCTTGGGACGACCTGTGTGACCACCTCTTATGACGAGGCGCCGACGCCGGCGCCGGCTCGTCCGCTGGCATTACATGGCAATCTTCGAACTAAATGTGGTAAGAATGAGCTGTTAGCGCTTGTACATGCCTGTATACCAAGGTATCGAGAAAAGGAGAGAGCAATACAGGGGACATACAAAGCCGGTCTTGCGCAAGGTATGCAGATAGTCGCGGCGGACCTGGGTGAGGTAGACGAAGCCGACGATGTACCAGGGTTCTGAGATCTCGACGACGGTGAAGTCTTCGTACTGTTTGGGGTCCGCGTTTCGGTCATCCTCGATCATCTGCTTCCATTCATCGGCCGCGTCATCGTCCGTGGGGTCCTTCGCAGTACAGAAGGCGTCGACCAGCCTGGGGTCCTCGCACTTGTCTTCCTCGTCGCCGCGGATACTCAAGGGGTCGCCAAACCCGGTGGCGGCGGCGCCGGTGCTGGGATTTGCGGCGATGCCATCGTCGGCGTCATGAACAATGGTCACCGAGTCGTCATGATGCGCAGCAGCTACTGCGACTGTATCAGCAAACCGGCGAACCAACGGCGTGGGCCTCGCGCTGCAGGCCGTCACGGTGGTGGCGACGGTCGCGTCGGTGATGGCGCAACCCAGGATAGGGAACTCGCTGGAGAAGGTGCGAGTTGCCGTGGTTCGGACGGTTCCCTCGGTGGTGGTCGTGCCGTACAAAGTCGACTCGATGGTCAATGTGGCCGTGGTGACCTCACATGGAGTCGGTTTCGCGGGCTCCGGCGGGAACTCGCCGCCGGGGCCGATGGTAATCTTGGGCCACGTCGGCAGGCAAGGGAGAGGCCCGGGGCATTGGATCTTCCAACCCGGCGGCAGTTTCAGGAGGTCTACCGGCGGAGGGCCAGGGCCGATCCCACCGGGGGGTAGGGCAATATCCCACCAGTCGACTTGAATGTTGAGGCCGAGCCACGAAATGCAAATGAAGAAAAACCAGGTGCTGCAACGCACACGGGTGCCGCCGGGCGGCGTGGGCTTGCTGGGGTCGGTCACGGGCTCAATGGACGCCGTGGGATTAACGGGGAAGGGAGTAGTGCTATCCGGTGGTGGCGGCGTTGGATCGGGTTCTTGCAGAAAAGGGGGCACGACGTCATCGTCGTCGTCGACATTGGGCTCAAGAGTCGCAGTCGGCGGCGGCACCCACGGCCTGTTCAACTGAATCAGTCGTTTCTTGCCTGTCGAGCGTGACTCGGGAGCATTCCAGGAGCAAAAATGCTGCTTTGGGGACAAGGCGACTCTTGTTACTCCCGAAACATCGGGAAAAGGGCAAAAAAAGCACAAATTTGACGTACCAGTCTGTTGCCGGTGGCGGTATCGAAGTGAGCGGGACTCCTCCTGTTTGGTTCTGTGCAGGTCCCGATGCTACCCCGCTACCTAGAGGAGGAGGCAAGACAGTTCTCGTTGTAGTCCGACCCTCTTCTCCTGTGACGACTACCGTGGCCGGCGGGGGCTGAAAGCTGGGTCGAAGGGTGAAGACTGCGCCCGGTTGCTGCTCGCTGGTGACGTATTCGTTGAAGAAGTCAATGACGGTGATGGTGGTGGTCACCTTGGTGGGAATGACGACGACTATTGTCGTCGTGGTGCCTACCTCGAGTGTGGCCGTGTAAGGCGGGATGGTGATGGCCTTGGGCTCGCTCAGACTACTCGGCGGGAAGACCATGACGCACGGTGCTGAACACTGCGCCGTGGGCTTTTGGAACACCTCGGGACCAACGTAGACAACGTCTCCGTACGTCTCATCGTCCGAGTTGCCTGACCCCACCACCTGGAAGTCGATGCTCCAGACCATGGTGCCTCCAAAGCATCGGGAGTCGGCCCAAGCCTTCTTGGCAGCAAACGTCTCCTCGTCGTCATAACCAATCCATTGGTCGTCCCAGGTGATTTGCTTCATCATGGAATCGGCGAGGTACTGCGGTTTAAGGCCTTTGCGCTTGATCAGCTGCTGGATTTCGAGCAGCGACATGACCCCGTCCGAGTTGGTACACGGAGCCGGGTCGCTGGCGCCGGAAAACGGACACAGCAACTGATTGCAGCTCGGGTCGGCCAGGGTGTACCCGCGGCCGTACATCGCGAGCCCGAAGTTGATCTTAGCAGGGTCCAGACCATCGAACCACAAGGGCACGGTATTATTTGCGATCTCGCGAATGTCGGCCTGGCCGCGCACCTTCTTGCCAAGCGTCAGGACGTCTGAGTCCCACGAGCCGTGGAGATCGTAGGCCATAAAGCCGAAGAAATCGACGTAGGGCTCCATCCCCTTGGGGTCGAACCAGCGCAGATACCAATAGTCAGGGGCCAAGGTAAGACTGATTCCATACGCGTTGCCATAGGCCACGCGCATCTCCTTCACAAGCAGAACGAGATTCTTGGTGTCGTCGAGCCCGTTACCACCTCGGCTGGGGTCTCCTGGGTACTCCCAGTCCAGGTCAACGCCCTGGAAACCGTACTCGTCCATATACTCCCTGACCGAGTCGATAAACGCGGCGCGGCGGGCCTTGGTGGCGCAGACATCGCTCCACGTAGTGTGTGTGGGCGTGCCCGGGTCGCTAAAGTCGAAGCCGCCGATTGCGATCCAGGTCTGAAGGCCGTCTTTGGCCAGGCTCGTGAACTCGCGCATCATAGCCGGGTCGTCGGCATGGGCTGGGGCAATCCGGTAGGTGGCCGGATCGATGGACGCAAACGAGTAGAAGAGGTGGGTGTAGCCCGTCGTATTGAGGTCGCGCGGCGCGACCTTGTTGCAGACCCGGTTGCGCATATTCCACGACTGGTAATAACCCACCATGCGCCCATTCGTGCTACCGCCGCCGTACGGACACGAAGGCGCGCCAGAGATGTAGCAAGAGCCGTACCCAGCCTGGCAGGGCAATGTGCCGCGGAGAGGATCGGCATTGTGGCAGAACTCGGTTGTGGTCTGCTCCATCATCAGCCGTCATCCCCAAAGTCAAGTCCAGAAGAGGGTCATTGTACTTACACCACACCAGCCCATGGCCGAGCAACATAGCTTCAACCCGCACGGCATGTCGCCGTTCTCGCTGTACTCGCCGCACATGGCAGTGGCGTCGCATTGCGACAGACAACCGTCGCCGCAGAAGTCCGGGCCGAAGCCGCAAATATGGTCCTTGCTGCAGCAGCTGCCATCGATACAGGGGCCGTCGTTACAGCGCAGGGGGCCATCGCGCTTTGCCAGGCTGATATTGTGGTGGGCGTGTCTCGTGGCCAAGAACGATGACCGACCCGACAGGTCGCTCAGCTCGGCAGGCGAGGACGCGGCAAGGGCCGGGGACAAGAGAGGTTGGGGTGGTGCCCTTGCTGGGTTCTGGTGAGCTAAGCCCTGGTTAGGAATTGGGACGACGTGGATAGTAGCATCACGTCGCTGCTCCCGAGGAAAAGGCCATCGTCTTGGATGCTGGCGGAAGGTGCCGCGTTGGCGTTCCGAAGTGGTGGTATACAGAACGGGTAGCAGGCAAAAAACAAGAAGCGAGAGAGTAGCGAGACCCCAGAAGGCAGGGCGTGCGATCCCTACTCCTGCCATCTTGATGGCCTGTCACCTTGCTGCCGGTGTTTATGTCGCTGCCGACCTGAGATGGCCGCGAGACAATGGTGTCTTATATAAGACATGGCGGTGGCGGCATAGCCGACGAAGGTAGCACCCCAGGCGTGCAATCATCCATGCTTGTATATTTTTGATAATGGGAACCGCATGGTCGTCTGACAAGGATGTGGAAGATCTCGCCTATGTTGCAGCCCTCGCGACTCCCATCCTATGCCGCATTTTGCTGCGTGAGGTGCTCGGCTGTGTCAGCTCCGCTTTCACTCTTCTCTATCCGTAGTTCACAAGGCACCAGCGTACCAGCTGTACCAGGTAGTTAGTGCTGAGGTGAGAACGCAGAGTTCTCGCGATGTTACGTTCTAGTCCTTCTAAAAAGGGGTTGAAGCGATCAGTTGTCTAGAATTGGCTGAGCTGATTGATGCTTAGTTAGAAAGGGTGGTGGACAAGATTGCTCAGCCGGAGGTGTTGAATAGCGGAGTGGCCAGTGCTCCTTCCATATCGCCCAACCGCATTGGCAATGATTGGATTGCCCCTGCCAAGACTCGCCAGGAGGAACGGTCCGATCGGGCACCGACGAGTAAGCGCGACAAGCGTTTGGATGTAAGCGCTGTCCCTCTTTCGATCGCTTCGAACGTGCCATGTAACACCGACAAAAAGAAAAGGGGGGGACAAGACTCCAATGCGGAAGTCAAAGACGACCCACAACTGGTCAACCAACCATCCATCCTTGCTGTCATCACCACATCTCATCTTAGCACTGTAGCAGTGCAGGAACTTCATTGATTTCTAGGCGGCGATAACGTGAGACGCAGCCTGGCAGGAATGCAGATCCGGAAAGCCGGCTGGGTGTCTGGCTCTGCAAGATTCTGCAAGATGGATGCGTGCTAGCATCAGACTGGTCTGCGCACTCTGCGGCGACTCTCTCAAGAGACAGCTCAGGTTTAGCTAGGTTGGTTATGCTGGGTTGGTTATTATGGCTGGCTATCCGCTCCTGTGCGGCCAGGAGCGACGATCTGGTCCATTCGCCCATCTAGCCTGGTAGGCTAACCCAGCGCACCATCGTTTCATCATGTTATTCCGACGGGTAGCCTTCAGCTTCATTGGCCTTCTGCTCTCAGGCCATGCCGTCGTGTTTGCCCAGACCGCCAGCAGCCCTCCGGCGTGGCAGACGGGTTCCATCACCGAAGATGGCACATGCGGTCCAAACAGTCCGGGAAAGTGGGTGTGCACGCCCACATGGGGCGCGTGCTGTGGTCCTAACGGCCTCTGCGGCCGCAAGGAAGCCTGCGGGACTGGATGGTACGCCTCATTGTCTCGTCTCAGTTACATGTACTGACTCTCGTACCACTGCAGCCAACCCGGATACGGCAACTGCAACGCGCCGCCGTGGACGGGCATTCCCTCGCCGGACGGCTCCTGCGGCGGCACATCTCTGTACAACTGCACGGGCTCTGCCTTCGGCGCGTGCTGCTCCTCGGGGGGGCGGTGCGGAGACACGACAAGCCACTGCGGTACGGGTTGCCAGCCGCTCTTCGGCAAGTGTCCGCCGAGCAACGTGACGACCGACGGGTCATGCGGCAGTGCCAACGGCGGCAATGTGTGCACGGGCGCAGCGTTCGGTGACTGCTGCTCCGCCAGCGGCTACTGCGGCAACTCGACCGCCCACTGCGGCTCCGGATGCCAGTCGACCTTTGGCAACTGCTCTGCCCCGTCCAATGTATCAAGCGACGGCAGTTGCGGCGCCAACGGCAAGATCTGCACCGGGTCGGCCTTCGGCGACTGCTGCTCGGCCCAAGGCTACTGTGGGGGCACACTTGCGCATTGCGGCGCCGGATGCCAGGCCGGCTTTGGCACGTGCAGCGGTGGGAGCGGTAGCATATCGATCGATGGGGAGTGCGGCTCAAAGAACGGAAAGACGTGCAAGGGCTCGGCGTTTGGAGACTGCTGCTCTGGTAGCGGTTTCTGTGGCGGCACGGCCGATCACTGCGGCGCTGGCTGCCAGTCCGGCTTTGGGACCTGCTCAACCCCTTCCAACGTCTCTAGCGATGGCCGCTGCGGCGCCAATGGAAAGAGCTGCGCCGGCTCTGCCTTTGGCACCTGCTGTTCCTCCGGCGGCTACTGCGGGGGAACAACAGACCACTGTGGTGCCGGGTGCCAAGCTAGCTTCGGGTCCTGCAGCACCGGCAGCGGAACCATCTCAACGGATGGCCAGTGCGGTACCAAGAACGGAAAGACGTGCACCGGGTCCGGTTTTGGAAACTGTTGCTCGCCTGCTGGCTATTGCGGCACCACAGCCGACCATTGCACTGCCGGATGCCAGTTAGGCTTTGGCACGTGTAGCAGCGGAAGCAACACCATCTCGACCGACGGTAAGTGCGGGTCGAACGGCAAGACGTGCGCGGGCTCCGCCTTCGGCACTTGTTGCTCCAGTGTGGGCAATTGCGGTAGCACAGCGGACCACTGTGGCCAGGGATGGTTAGTACTAGTCTCCCCCCCTCTGACATTAGGAATACTATTGCCAGATAAGGCGGCTGACGATACATCCCTGTGGATAGCCAGAAGAGCTTCTCGAGCTCGTGCATTATAACCAACATCCCCTCGGTTGACGGTAGCTGCGGCCCCAGCAAGGGCGGCTGGACGTGCAACGGCGGTGATTTCAACAATTATTGTTGTAGCGCGGGCGGCTTTTGCGGAACGACGAGTGCCCATTGCGGTACAGGGTGGTAGGTGCTCCCTTTCTTCTGCGTACAACTTGCGGAAACTGATCTTTGTCCGAAACAGTCAAAAGGGGTACGGGCGTTGTAGCTAGACGTGCGGTGTACGGTGTCGGAATGGCAGACGTCGGCTTCGTGCTGCGCATCTTAATGTGTGAAGTACTTCTGAATGAGCGACCTTTGATTTTTTTTTCAGTTTAGGGTTTGTTCAGTTGGTCGGAAACTTGTCTACAGCAGAACTCCGTGGTCTGAATTTCGGCTTCTTTAGACAGCCAGCAGAATAAACGGACACACCACGAACAATGAAACAGCTTATGTTCTCCTAAATTGTCGACGAGTAATGTGAGGTCAAGTGTCATTCTTGCCTCGGCGAACATTCGACAAGAAGCTCCTCGAACGGCTCAGGGTGGCCGATGGAAATCAGCGAAGTCCAAGACACACGATGGTTCTCCCCAGCGCGGTGCAGTTGCCCCATCAGCGAGTTTCTCACCAGGTACTGAGCAGCGACGAGCTTTCCCGCTCCTTACTGACACGCTCTAATGAATGCTGTCCTCAATCCCGGGCATACGACCCTACCGATCACGACAGCTCCTCCCGCCTTACGATCGACAGCAGGTGCCTCAACCTCCCTTCCTCTGGCGGCATCGACTGTACCTTCAGACGGCGCATCGAATACGTCTTTATACAAAACCACAGGCAACAATGCGGGGCTATCGCGGGCAGTGGCTGGTTACCAAGCGGCGAACACCGGAGAGCACTCCGTCACAACCGGTTGGCTCGAGGACCAACCGAATGATATATTCTTCCAATGCTCAAAACTGAGCTCCGTGTTGTGTTTGACAGCGCTCGTGATGGCTAGCCTCCCTGTCTTGCGGAGATTGAGTACGTACCTACGTCTACGGTTGTTAATCCGCTAGCGGATCTGGATCGGGTGGTCTGACTTTGTCGACGGAGAATCCAAGGTTGTAAATGTCGCGTCGCAATATTTCCCGCATGACTCAAAGCGAGCGCGATAAGATGGTACGGTGTATGTCTCTAATCCCAGAAGGGAAGGCCAGCCAGCCACTCGATCGCCCTTTCCGGTGCCGCGGTGATATCACAGTTGCCGAACAAGAACAAGGAATAACGTTAGGCCTTAACCCCGCTGCGAAATAGGGTTACCTTCCGAAAACACAACGATCCAGACACGGCCCGTAGGACAGCCGAGCGCCAGAGCCGTGCCAGATCCAGCGGATGCGGATGACGTTGGTCTATACTCCGGGGGCAACCACAGAATATTTTCACCTCGTATATGATCCAGGTGCCGTTGCTATTTAGGCCATACCCAATGCGTTGAAATAAAGCTGGTGACGGTGTATAGTCAGTTGAGGCTATAGCCAGAACTGTAGAAGGTAGCGTGGGCGGTAAGTCGAATGTGCCGACTCCGGTATGCAGCCGGTGAAATAGAGATGTATCAAACTGGAGAGGATGAGAAACACGGCCAATGTCCAGTGTTGCGACGCACCGGCCCGTCGTGGCATCACAGATCTTGACTGTACTATCCCCGCCGCCGATGCGAGCCGTGCCGCATCGTGCGACCAGACTACCGAATTGACCCGTAGCCATGTCCCTTAAGCGTCGCGACGCACTGTCCTGTCGTTGTATCCCAGACCTTGACCGTCCTATCGGAGGACGCCGACGCAAGCCGCGCCGCGTCAGGCGGTTAGGCCACTGATCCAATTGGCATCCATCTCGAACGAGGTGGGCAGGCTGGGATATTTGTAAGGCGGTGCCCTGCTCAAACCCTGACTAAACCCAAAACTCATCCCTGCATGCACACCGATGTGTATTTAGCCACACGGTTTAAGTCCAATTCCCCGATATTTTATTGCTCATTCCCAAAACCGAGGTTTCTTTCCCACAACACCACACGTTTCAATACCACCAGGCGCACGGTTACTGGTCAATTCGTACCATAGTATGCTTTCAAGCCCCGTTGTACATGCCTGTTCCACGTCCCAACCCTGTTCTTTCGCTTGATGTTACTACGGTCAATTCCAAACTCCTATCGTCATGCCAGCTGCGCTGTCTTCATTTACCTAGAAGGACAGCCAGCTTAAGGTTACTCAGGAGAGATATGAGGAGTGTACGACCAACCTTGAGTATACGGCCTGGGTTGTGAACAAGCTTTGTCAGTGCCGCTTCGCTCCAGTCGCTAAGATCCTACATGAGAATAAGGTATGATCACCCGTCCAAGAGCAAAACGCCAAACGTGTTCCATTCACATAGTTATTGCTGGGATGTCCAGCGTCTTTTCATCCCACACGAGTATTTCATCCAGGGCGAGGCGACGACTGCTAAGCCGAAGTTCGATACCTAGACTCGTGCGACATCTCTGGCTGTTTACATCTTTACTCCGACGCAATACCAGAACCCAAAGTGCAAGCAGTGCAGCAGTTTCCAGTCCCGTGGCCCTGCTTCCGACTGCCGTGTCCCCACCACTAAGCACGGTGCTGGAGCATGCACCAATTGCTATTATTCTGGGCAGAGCACTGCGTGCAGCCTTCGTATTGGTATGTTATTCTCGTTGTTTGTAGGGTTTGTCCAGGCTAACCGAAACAGCGGCAGAGGGTTGAGGAGTTTGCTAAGAAAGAGAAGGACAGGTTCGAAATGCACACTTCGGACGAGCTTGACGAGCTCTCAGAGGAGCAGCTTGAGGAATGGGCACAAATGGTGAAGGATGAGATTGAAAAAAAGCGGTACGCTGGCAGATGTCCGATTAAGAAGCGCCGCTCATAAGAAAGTGAACTAGGGCAATCCAGAGCAAGAGTATTCGCTTGGGGCAGGTAGGATTTCGAAATAATAGTTGTTTCAGGGACAAGGAGTGTAGTTAGCATTAGGTTCTCATGGGATTAGGGGACAATGCAGGACTCCGCCAAGATACCAGACAATTTCCTTAATAAACCAAAGTTGGTAGGACTCGTCTCTTTGCGGTCTTTGTTTACCTTGGGTGAGCATGTCGATGCAATGCTGGCAACCTCAGATTTCAGGAGGAAAGGGACAAAACACCAGGAACCATAGTGACAACGCCGTAGGGAATATCGCCAGCTTTGCTGGCCGTTGCGCTCCCTTCCGACAGAATTCCTGGCATGCGTCCTGGTTTCACGGCAACGAAAACTATGTGAATTTCAAAATCTTCCTGCGTGCCAGGCACTGCCCTTACACTCCCGTTAGACGCTTGTGCTCTTGCAGCTCGCTCCGGGGCTGCTGGCAGCTCCTGAACAAGCCTCGTCGGCGCTCAATCGCATCACGGATGAGACGCTGCAGTACCTCAAGCTCAGCATAAGACATCTTCTGAAGCAGCACCGGCGTCAGCATCCGAATCGGCCCCTTCCCCTTTCTCTCTTCCTGTGCACGCCGCAGCTCCTCCTCTATAGCTTAGGTCAATATATTATTATTACTCCTACACCGCTGTGCCCTAGGGCGTGCCGGACCTTCAACAACTTACTATACAGGAAAACCGCGCCCTCGTGGGCCGGGTAAAAAACCCATGTCATCAATCAAGGAAACGATCAATGTGTGATCTTGCAAATACAAAGTGAGAAGGCCTCTTGGCCTTCGAAGGAAAGGGATATCAAACCCCAAGCTCCAGCTCCAGCCTCCTGGCCAGACTGTACATCGGCAGTTTCCCCGAGTCCATCAGCCAGTCCAGGATCCTCCCCGTTAGCCGTGCAGCTTTGGGACTGATTTCCTGTAGGACAGAATAAAAGTCCCTTCGCGTTCTGACCTCGGCTCTCTCCCATCTTCGAGTCAACGGTGGGGCCAAGCACCACATCACAAGGTGTTCTACAGTCTCTCGCCCCTCTCCACACTCGCATATAGGCGTCAGAACCTCTGGGACTCTCCTTTCGAATAAGAAATCCCGAAGGCCTATGGCCCCAGTTCGAATCTGGATCAACAGTGAACTCTTCGCTCTGCTGAGGCCGTCGTGTCTCCGTAAGGTTTTGTCTTGGAACAGAGTCTCACGCTGATGGTCGAGGTCGTCTGCGGGCCTCGTTGTTGTCCGGCCGTCTCGTTCCTTGGGCCACCTCTCTCTCCAGGCCTGGTTGGTGGATATAACAAGAAACTTGTGATTTATTGTACAACAATAGATCGTGTGACTGGTGTCATGTTACCTTCATTCGATTGGGAAAATTCAGGCGAGGCGAATGAGATACCTTTCGTAATAGTGGCTTACTATTTGCAATACCGATCTGATGAGACTTTACGGTACCCCTTCAGCCTCTCTTTGAGCGGGCAGTGCCGGGGTTCAGTGTGTACTCCAGTAGTCTCGAATAACAACATCCACCACCAATGTCCAGCCGCTCATGGACGATGGCAGGGTTCTGTGAAGACGCGTTTGACCGCGTCTTTGCAAAATTGCAAGCCTCAGCCAAGGTCTACAGTATAAGAGCTCCTTGACTTCCATCAGAATGTATCCTTCCTTCTTTCTTCTATGGATCACTCGGATCTTGATGAGGACGAGCGAGCCATCCACCGAAAACGCAACTTCAGCACGATCAGCAGTAGGACGTCGTCTTCACAAACAGTGGATGAACTGGATCGTTGGCTTCTTTCAACCGAGGGGAGATACCTTACCCCAAAGGCCGACCCCATCAAGTACTGGGTGGACCGCCGATTCGAATATCCCCGATTGGCAAAGATGGCCTTTGACGTGCTCAGCGTCCCGCCGATGGCAGCCGAGTGTGAAAGAATATTTTCCGCTGCTGGCTGCATGGTAACGACACGACGGACACGGCTCGGGACTGACGTGATCTCTGCCGCCCAGACGAGCAGATCGTGGGTGCAAGCCGGATTGATGGATGATTATAACGTAATCGCCCTCCGAGATGCAAGCGTTGAGGCGCTTGAGAATGAAGTGTTGCTCAAATTGAAGGTGGCATAGCATGAGGTGACCGGCTTGTGGCTAGGTAGAAGTGTTCAGCTGTCGTGAGCGTCCTGTTACCGGAACATTTTCATCCGCTAAGCCGTGAACAATCTACGTGAATGGTATCTACGTTGATAGAATAGAGAGCTATTCTATCAACTCTATCTCAGTCCAGCTGACTAATCCATCTATTCTTCTACTTCAAGGGTCGCGTGGGTAGAAGTGGATAGATGCAGAACCCTGATCTCTGGTATTTACCCCTTGGATTTGCTGGCTCGTTTCTTCTAGCTTGTTTTTTTCTTCGAGCATTCCGCCAGGCTCATACTGACACGACCCATATTTGGGAATTTGGCAGGGAGTTGGACAACCACCGCCAAATGACATTTGTTGGAGTTGCAAGCCCGTTTGCCTGATGTGTCTTTAATTTGGTTGACCAAAAATATCGTCGGGAAAAAACACTAGTTATCCGTATCAGATTTGCCTCCGCAGTGTTCTATTCTAAATCAGGAGTTATCACTAGTCTCTGGCCACTGACACTCCCCTGCTTGAGCAGGTCCCAAGCCGCCTGAACGTGAGATAGACCCCCAAGAACTCGCACGGGGAGGAACTGTAGCTTTCTAGACTGCAGTGCATTCTCCAGGTACTCCCACCACACCCATTTGGTGAATTCCTCGTTCTTGGAGTCCAAGTAGTCATCTATGAACTGCGCAAACTGCCCAGACACTCCTAGCGGAAGTGTTACGCCTTGTCTCAAGCCCATGGTCGATAAAAACGAACCCCCGCCTTGAGCAGCCAAGACCGCTCCAAGCACCAGCTGGTCGGGCGCCGAGTCAGCAGCCGCAAGAACTGCCTTGAAGGGTCCCAGAGCAACTAGTTCCTGAGAAACCGCTGGTGAGTGTCGGTCGACGAAATGCGTCGCGCCAAACGATTGGACCATTGTTGAGTTGTGCGCGGATGCGACTCCCACAATGGTGTAGCCGGCTTCGGCAGCCAGCTGCGTTGCATAGATTCCAAAAGACGACGAGGCGCCCCAGATGAGGACTTTCTCGGCCTTGCGTTGAGGCTTGGCTTCCGCAGATGGCCTGTCGAGCCCAAGATGGAGAAATACGGCGCTGGCGGCACCATAAAAATTGGAAACAGAAGCGGCAATCTCGAAAGGCTGATCCCCGATCTAAAGCCCGCGTATATGTATAAGTACTTGTAGGCAGTAGGTTTGGGCTGGTCAAGTTGCTTACCTTGGCTGTGAGCTCTTGTGTCGTCAAAGCGTACCTTTGATAAGCCCCGAATCTCGAGTCGTTCCGGATTGTTCCCCCGCTGTTTGTGACAACGCGGTCGCCGACTTGGAATCTGGTTACGGCGGAACCAACTTTGACGATTATACCTGAAAAGGATACTAATGACGGCCACGCGTGAGTATATGCTTGAAAGTCACGTTCTGCCAGGAAAATTGTCACTCACGACCGATGATGGTAGGGTATTTGAGCGGAAACGGGAGCAAGCCTTCCTGGATCTTGTATTCTGCTGGCTGGACAGCAACTGCCTTCACCTGTACCATGAGTAAAGTCAGCCTCGAGCTACGCAGATACACGCTGGATGGGATTCGCATCACTTCACTGACCTCGACCAAGAGCTCGCCCTCCTCGGGGTCAGGGGTCTCTGCTGGACGAATTTCTAACGACTTCCCAACGCCCAGAAGCCAGGCGGCGGTATTTTGAGTTGTTGCCATTGGAACGCGAGGACGAATGGACTGGATAGACGAAGAGTATCTGGTCTTAGGGAACCATCATGGAGAAACCAAGTTTATATGTGACAAACTACAGCAGATAAAAAGATTTTGCGTTTATGCCGCGTCATCAGTCAGCGTCTTTCCCTAGACAGGTTGCAAGCTCCTTGAGATTTATCATCTGCATCTTGATGACCAAACGACACAGTTCTGCATGTGGGGGAGGAACTGTAAGATCAGGTAATCAGCACTGACGAATGGCTGCATCTGCCACGAGCTAGAGCTGCATCGACGTGCCAAAAGAACCTAACCCATTCCGGTCGCATTCTGCGAACCGCATCCAACAGCAGCGGCCAGTCCAGCGTCCTTCTTATCAGGATTGCGGACTCTCAAACTTGAAATCGCCAAGCAATGGTTACGTCAGCAACAGGCTGACTGCCGTGGCTGGGGAGCCTGGCAAAGGATGAGGGCAAGCGTCGAGACTCTAGCGTCGCCAAGATATGTACATGTGCTGCAGGTTGTACCCGCCCCGATCGTGGCACAGATCTGACGGCGCGCCAGGGATGATGACGGGAGGAGGAAGAGGGACGAATGCTGGTTTCTCTTGTGCGGGTCACCAAGGTCTGTTAAGTGAGAGGCTCGCTTGTCTGAGGTGCTCGCTTATCATATACGTTACCACCTATGTTTGGAACTCGCAGAAGGGATTGCAGCAGTCAGGGACCGGAGGTTTTGTGGACTACAGCGAAACGCGCTAGCAAGAGGGTTCTGAGTAAGCACCACACTTTAGGCCACATCTTCAGAGGCACATACATCCACAGTAGCGCCTTGGTAACGCTCCTGTGCACCAACACGGCTAGGGTCCAGCCAGGGGTTTGGTTCACCGACCCGCCAAACTACTCCCTTGGCGCACATGCACGCAATAAAAGGTGGCGCACGGAAGCTGCAAGCTTCGCACAATACCGACTATTCGGGCTGGCCTGGTCGTCACGTTCAAGAAAATCTCAGAACTCGGTATCAGCATGGTTGGGGTGCCAGGGCGATCCAAGGCTTGCTCGACCTGCCGGGAGAGGAAAATCAGCGTGAGTGACACACCCACCGCCTTGCACCGGCTACACGTGTGGGAGAGACACGGTGTCGCTTAACTCTAGTCGACGTTAGTGCGACGAGGCGAAACCACGATGCAGTCGTTGCGTGAGATCCGGGCGGGAATGCGGCGGCTACAAGCGTCCTCGAGTATTCGTCAATCGGTTTTCCGAGACACAACTGCCGCCCGTGCAAGCATATACACTGAGCGGCACTAGGAGGGACCCGAGGCATGGCCGATGGACAGTATACATCCCGGATCCTCACACAGTATCAACGATGTCCAAGTCGCCAGACCTCCACCCGGCAGAACAGCAACAGCTCATCTCGCGCTTCATACAGGGTTTCTGCCCGCCGATGGACCCGACATTGCGGCCCTCCGAGCGCATACACCATTACTGGGTTTACTGCCTGCCAAGCATCCACGGCAGAAGTCATGTCCTCGATACCGCAATCATGACACTCTGTGCTAGTTTTCTCGGTCGCATCATGAACGATGAGGTTCTGCAACAAAGGGCCATCAGTGTGTGCGGTGAGGCGCTCAGGAGTCTCTCGACCATCATTGCCGCTCCCAACTTCTCTGCAAGTGACAATGTGCTGGCGGCTGTCATGTGTCTTGGGATGGCCGAGGTGAGTACGATTCCAGGCGCGGGGCTGAAAGCCATCAGGCGTCCCCCGCTGACCACGGCTCGAGAAGGTGTACTCGGTACCAACGCAACCTGCAGTCGATGTCGGGTGGGCTAGCCACAACAAAGGGGGTTGTGAGCTGCTCGTGTCCCGCGGCCCAAGCATTTTACGGAGCGAGCTCGCCCGGGGGTTGCTGCTGCGCTTTCGCGTTACCGGGGTATGGACCCAACTAGTATACGAAGCGTCCGTCTTGCTGAGGTCTGGAAACCAGCTTTCTACCGCCATCGGCAGGAGAAAGCCGTTTCCTTTCGCGGACGAGGAGCTTCGACAGATATCTAAGGCGGCCAATCAGAACTACTACGACCACCTCATGGACGCCCTCGTGGATATCCCCGGGCTTCTGCACGACCTTAACGACATGCGCCAAGCAGGTGCCGAGTCAGAGAACGGCCTCCGAGATATCCTGGCGCGCGGTAAAGCGGTGGGCGCTGAACTACGAAGATGGTTGGCAGACTTTGTCGCACAGCAGCCCTCCGCTTGGCACTGCGTAGATGGACCCCTACACCCGGGGCCATATTTATTTCACGGAACATTTCGCTTCCATAATCTTCTGGCTGCCCAGGCCATGACGCATTTCTGGGCTGGACTGGTCATCCTTGCCAGGTGCTACGCTATGTGCCAAGACATGAGTCGAGGTGTCACGGACCTCGACGAGGACGTGCATGTGGCTTGCATGCAATTGTTCGAGTGCTCGCCCCTGCAGGTCTCCAGGACGCCATGGGGCCCCCAAGCTCTCGGTTCACACTTCGCAGACATGATATGTTCTGCAGCAGACTATTTTACCTCAAGGGACAGAGGCATATCGGGACCTATAATCCTCTTGTTCCCTTTGTGGATAGCCAAGGATGTGTATGCCAATATGCAGAATCATTTGTCAAGACTTAAGGAGGTTTTCTGCGTTGGGGTGTTTCAGGAACTTGGACGCCGTGGCATGAAAATCTCGGATGCTTTGGTTGGTCTAAGTACAAAACAACCTTGAGGGTTTGTTGGTCGTCTCTCTGACGTGGCGACACTGTGGATTTTACAAGCAGATCTCCATTCTGAGCGTTCTCTGTTTGCAGGGTGACCACCTCCCGGCTGTCCTTGAGCGGCTAAGAAAATACAGTATAATACGTACAACGTTGCCAATTATACGGCTCTAAAATATAACGTTTGACTGGTTGCACGGTAATTCATACATTATGTCTGAGGATGACGTGGTCATCCTGCGATCTCAGTACATGGCCCATCCACCGCTCGCCGAGATCACCTGACCGCTAATCCACCGACTCTCCTCGCTAGCCAGCCAGGCGACAATCTGTGCGATGTCGTCCACAGTTCCAATCCGATTCTCGACAGGGGTTTGTGACTTCTGCATCTCGATGTACTCCTTGGGGATATTTTCCATCAGCTGGGTCTGGACAGGCCCCGGGTTGACCGCATTGACCGTGTGCCCGGCGGCTCCCAACTCCGCCGCCCAGCATCTGGTCAAGCCTTCCAGCGCAGCCTTGGACGAACAATAGACTGACAGATCCTTGAAGCCGTACCTAGCTCCGACAGAGCTGATGTTGATGATGCGTCCTGGACGACGGAGATGCGGCAGCACGGCCTGGGTCATGAGCAGTGGGCCCCTGACGTTCAAGTCGTAGATGGAAGCAAAGTCTTCGACCGTGATCTCTTGCAGCGGCTTGACAAGCTCTGCACCTGCATTGTTGATGAGGATGTCGACGTTGGTGCCGAATGCCTGGAATGTCTGCTCGAGAATTTGCTTGGGAACGGAGGGGTCTCTCAAGTCGGCCTTGATCTTGATGGCTTGGGAACCATTGCCCAGACCATCAATCTTCTCGATGAGAGCTTCCATTGCCTTTTCGCTGCCCTGAGACGTGTATGTGCCGGCTACCTATTTACATTGTCAGCTGCAACTGTCCGGCTGGCTTGCGGCTAGGGGTCTCACCTTTGCACCGCGCCGGGCCAATTCGAACGCGATCCCGGCGCCAATGCCCCTGGAGGTACCCGTCACAATAGCTACTTTGCCTCTGAGGTCGAGGGATACATGTGGAAGGAGGTTGATTGACACCATCCTCAGTCGGCTTTGTGCGTATCAATGTGGACAAACTGATATGATAATTGCGATGAGTATCTTGGTTAGACCTGAAGGTTTTGATCTTGTTCATCGTTTCGGTTGGAAAAGTCAAGCACACTTATAAAAACAAGTTTCTCCTGCTCGCAATAGCAGCTTCACAAATGAGCATCGGAGTTTATCGTACACTCCAATCCTGATCACCGAAAACCAGCTTGAAGTCCGTAGCTGTTGGTGGGTCGTCGACCAGGGCACCAATAGCAAGCCCGAGAGCTTAACGCCGGCTGCACCTTAGAGCCGTCTTAGGGACGAAGAAGCCATCCAGATGCAAGCCCAGGCATTTGTAGGTCAACCCAGAAGCCCGACAGCTAGCAGAGTTGGAAGATGTCGCTGAGAGTCATTTCACCGCATGATATCAAAGTGCAGCTGGTTTCCGAAACCCGCTCGGTGGAATGCTTCCCCTTTGAGCTAATCGAGCTGGATAAAAATACCTTATACTGCAAATCGGCATGGGTGGGACTCGGCGTCTTGGCTTTATTAGCCGAGTCCCTGCGGCGGTACGTACCAGTCGACCGAACCTGTCTGGACGTCCATGCAGACCAGCTTGGAACCCATGCAATAATTGGAACTTTCTCCGGAGACAAGGCAAGCGGCCGAATCTTCCATTTATGTGCCTGGCCCCGAATCAGGATCAGGACCAGCAGAAAACTCGTCAGCTTGTGCATGAAGACTGGACGGTATGTCGACCCGAATTTCCGCAACAAACGCCACCCAAGACAGCACATCCCATCGAACCACCATTAGCCAAGCCGGGATGCACGTTGCTATTGCTGGGGCCGGGATTGCGGTATGTGACAGCCTAACCTTGCGAGCGGTCAGTATCCCGTGGACTGATCGGCAACACCAGGGTCTCGGCCTTGCTCTGCTGTTGCAGCAAAAATCAATCCCATGCGTCGTCTATGAACTACGAGCCAGCACTGCCACGACGACGGGCGCGTTGATGCTCGCGCCAAACGCAATGCGCATCCTGGAGGAGATTGGCTTGCTGGCCCGAATCCAAAAGCAAGGCCACAGCTTCGACACGATCTTTTTCAAGGACAGCGCAGGGCAGACAACCGACCAGTTCCTGATGGGCAGCATCCCCCGTTACGGCTACCATGCCATGAGGATCCACCGGCACACGGTCGTCACCGAGCTCAAAATCTGGCTGCAGAACGAGGAGTTTCCGTTCATTACGAGCGGCAGATATCGCGCGCCCTGGAGGAGAATCAAGACGGCGTGACGTTCCAGTTTGCCGACGGCTCGACGGACCATGCAAGCGTGCTAATTGGGGCCGACGGAATTCATTCTTATATCCGGGGCTACGTTTGCCTTGGCTACAGCCCGGTCTACTCTGGCCAGATCGCATTGAGCGCGGTGACGCAGCAAGGTTTACCAGAACGACTGGAGGATCCTCGATGCTCTCTTCCGGCCGTCTTCCACGGGAGAAATGGCGCGTTGCTCATGCTGCCACAGAGTTTTGACGGTTCGGAGGTGATTGTGACACCCAGCTCAGATATCCCGAACAGGACAGGGCAGGATGGACTCGCCTAGCTAATGATGGAGAAGAACTATTCAATCTGTGGAAGCAAGGCATTGGGGAATGGCATGGTCTCGTACCGTCCGTACTGGAGAGTGTGCGCCACGACGCCATCTCAATATGGCCGTACTATGCTCTTCCTAGCATTCCACGCTGGGTTTCCTCAGGCAAACGCGTCATTCTCGTTGGGGATGCGGCTCACGCCATTGCGCCGACTGCAGGACAAGGAGCGTGTCAGGCCCTCGAAGATGCCTTGACCTTGTCAGTTCTTTTCTCGAGTCTCTTTTTCCCTGTAGTAATGGGACACGGCTTGGATTTCTGGGAAAAGGTCCGCAGAGAGAGAGTCGAGAGGGTCAAGGCGCTGACTCTCCAACTGGGAAATAATAGGCTGCCACAAGAGGAGCGAGAGAAACTCCCAAGCGGTCAGTACTGGAAGTCAGGAGAACAGCCAGATCGGTCCTGGTTGTATAGAGTGCATGTCGGAGAAGAGTTTTCTAGGCTATACGCCAATCACGATGCATCAGTAGCATAGGGTAACTAATGAAAAAGATGCGCAATATGTTCATGCTGGCCATTTGAAACGCGCGCGAGACAATCCACGTGGTATTCACCTCAACATTAAGCTGTCCGCCTACCCGGCTCTGGGTTATCTGATGGCCTGGCAAGCGCACGAAAAGATAGCAAAGTTTGACTCCGAGGCACGTGACGGTGTCATGCCTGTCTGGTGCGTTCGGATGCTGCGAACGTGGCCAAACTTAGGTGCCATCCTTCGCAACAAGGCGCCGGAACATAGGCCTAGGTTCGGTGAAATGACACAGTAATGGGTTAGTTTAATGCCTTCGCATTAGGTTTCTAAGGATTTTGCTGAGCTTGATAAACCGCTTGGCGCTGCGTCGACAGCGCTTTTTTCGGCGGTGAGGAATATCGGTTGGCATCCTGTCTGACGGACAATACAATACAATACAAAAGGCACGATCGTGCATAGAGACTCCTGAGCTTTGCCCATTGTGTAGTCTTGGGCCGCCTAGGCCGGCATTTGCCCCGCCTTGGACGGCTAAGGAGCCCTTGCACGGAGCTTCTCCCCCCCACTTCTCCGCTCAGGAAGGGAACGCGTCTCAAGGTTCTCTGCGCGAGGTTGCTTACACATAAGCTATACCCGGATCCAACGATGTAATCCTCAAGTCAAGAACGCGAGACCGCGAGACGCCTCGAAGCCATTGGGGTCTGTTCTCGCCCCCGCCAACCGCTGACACATCCATGACAATGTCAGCGCCCTGTTATGCTAGCGTCGATAACATTGCGAGATCGATGCAAGCTTTCGATGGAAGCGGACCCTCCCTCCTACGATGAATGGGCAGGCCCGCATGTCTACCACCCAGCTGAATAGCAGGTATGAAAAGGGCTCACCTCCTTTTGTCGTAACATCACAGCTTTGCCTCTCTTTATGTATCCTCTCACCTCAAGATACCGTCACCTTGTGAACCGTTTGGGTCTAATCAGCCTTTACTGCAAGAACCACCCAAATACTTTTCCATCCAGGCTAGAGCCTCCAGCAATCAAAATGGTCAAGATCGCCATCGTCTACGTATGTTTGTCCTTCTCGCCCTTTACACACCGCGGCGTCAACCAGATATGGAGCGCTGGATCCCCAGCGGCTCCTGGAATCGCACTCCTGCTCGTGCCACCTAAATCTTATGAATCAACACAATGCTGGTTACTGAACAAGTGTGCTGCAGTATTCCATGTACGGTCATATCAAGACTCTGGTCGAAGCCGAGAAGAGGGGCATTGAAAAGGCGGGCGGCACCAGCGACGTGTTCCAGTATGTCGAGACATCTCTCTAAGATGAAACTGTGCAAACGCTGGAACCCCGGACATTGATACATGCTCTCAGGATTCCCGAGACCCTCTCCGACGAGGTTCTCGCCAAGATGTCCGCACCTTCCAAGCCCGCCGACATCACCGTGCTCGAGGACCCCTCGGTGCTCGAGAACTACGACGCCTTCCTGCTCGGCATTCCCACCCGTTACGGCAACTTTCCCGCTCAGTGGAAGACCTTCTGGGACAAGACCGGCAAGCAGTGGTCCTCGGGCGGTTTCTGGGGCAAGCTGGCCGGCGTCTTCATCTCCACCGCCTCCCTCGGCGGCGGCCAGGAGTCGACCGCCCTCGCCGCCATGTCCACCTTGGCCCACCACGGCATTATCTACGTGCCCTTCGGGTACGCCAAGGCGTTTGCCCAGCTGACCGACCTTAGCGAAGTCCACGGCGGCTCCCCCTGGGGCGCCGGCACTTTTGCCGGTCCCGACGGCTCGCGCCAGCCCACCGCCCGGGAGCTTGAAGTCGCCGAGATCCAGGGCGCAGAGTTCTACAAAACCGCGCTCAAGCACTTCGGTTGACTAGATGGTCCCAAACGCGGCAAGAAGGCCGGTGAGAACGGAGAGGCGGCAGCGACAGAGCATGCCGCCGCGAAGAGCGCGAACGGCGTGAAGCCGGCGGCCGGCGCTGCTACCAAGGCCCAGGCCCGGCAGGCGCCGCAGCAAGGGCAGCCGGAGGACGACGACAAGGAGGGCGACGTTTGTGGGCTGCCGTCCAAGTGCGTCCTCTTGTAGGGATTGAGAACCATCTTTTGATAGACGGACAAAGTCATAAATATACCATAATCATTCCCAATGTATGAGATCCCTTGCCTAGTCGACCTGAGTCGGGGGAGCGACCTCCATCTTAGCCACGGCTGGCGACAGGGTGTGGTAGAGCGGAACACAGATGCTCTAGGGTCGAGCTACATGAGTATTCTATGAGCGCTTAACACATGCTGACGCCCTGCTAAGACGGTTGATCTACGAGCCCGTGTCCTGCATTGTGTATTGTAACACCGGGTACAAATGAATGCCATTCAGGCTGTCTGCTACGGAGCTTAGTGAGAGGCAGAGAGGCAGCGGGGGGACAAGAACTCCGGGAACGGAAATGCTTGATCAGATTGAACATCTGAAGAGCTGAGTCTCAGCAACTCGGGCCCTCGGGGTGACATAGAGTCAAAGAAGTATCGCCACCCCTTTGCGCAGGTTTGGAGGCCGTCCATATTCCATATTCCTTGATGGCCGGCTGGAGGAACCCTTAGTACTCGATCCTGCGCCGCCCCCCCCTCCTTTCACTTATTGCACAGCAAGGCCGATGCGGCTCAGTGATAAGGCATGGAAGTGTTGTATGAAGCACTCCTGCCTCGACCGTTGCGGCAGGAACGCTCAAGCATTCCACCACTCCCTCCTTCCCCATTACTCTAGCGGCGTGACACGGCCGGGGTGGAAAGCTGCCCTCTTGCCGTTAGGAATGCTTTACTTGAGACGGTCCTTCCCAGGGAAGTCGCGACCCACGACTTCAACCCGTCGCAACCCGTTCGAGAGCGAGCCGCCCCACCCTCACCACCATAACCATTCTTCTTGACTTTCGTCCACTATGAAGTTGGCAAAATGGTCTCGCTTGGTCTGGTCGTGATGCGACGGTCTGAAGCGCGCGGAGTTAATAGTGTCAAACCCGGAAAGACCTCGTCTAGGGTGGGGCCTTGCGTACCCGATAAGATGAGCCCCACTCCATGCATGCACTCCCCTTCCCGGTGAAGGAACATCCGGGGCCGCCCGCGCAGGCGGCCGGGCATCGCAAAACTTGGAAGACAGGTCCTTGTGACCTGGTCTTTCATTTCCAAGGGGTTGCAGCTCCGCGCAGCTACTGCGCGGCCTGTTGGTGGCCGAAGACGTCGATTTCGAGGATCAGAAGTGAGGTTTCTGAACGCCCGGAAATCCCTCACCACCCCGCCCGACAACCGCGACTTACCGACACCAACGACAAGAACAAGCTGCAACAAACTTTGCAGAATCAGGGGGATACTGGGTACGAAAACCACCCGACTCTTTCGACGTTCTGAAGAAGAGACAGGGCACCCCCGGCCCTGTCCAGTTCTGGGAGAGCGAAGTCAAGAGTCTTGGCGGCAAACCCGACCGGTGAGACGACGCTACGAGGGCTGGAGCGAAAGCTGCTGTACGACTCCGATGCAAGAGTTGTTAATCGACCGAGGAGAAGGAAGGTGACGGGTTCGTTAAGGGAGACACACAGACGGCTGGCCTTCCTGCGAGGCGCTTCGCCCTCTTGACAAACAGCTCCCTACAAAAGGAGGAACTACAATAGTGGATCAGGGCAGGTTAGTGGCAGTGCCATGGAGGAAGCTGCGCCGGTGTGGCAGCTTTTTTCGGCGGCCTGCTGCAAGACACGGTCGGCACTGCGGCTTCGGCCTCGTTGGGAGACCCTCGCAGTGTAACGGGAAGCTGGAAGTCGGGGTTGCGCCTGGCGGAAGGTGGGCCGTGGCAGCTATGTTGGACCGAGGGGAGGGCAGTAGAGTTGCGGTCCCGGCTCGCACCCGGGCCACAGGAGCGAAACAGCTGTTGCCTCGGCGGGGGACCTGTTGGACTGTACGCGTGGCTAGGCCACGTCCCCTTGTTTCCGGGCGCAGGTTACAGTATGGGATGAAGCCGCGGATGGATTGCACCGGGTATGGGTGCCTCGGCTGGGGAGCAAATGTGTGGTGTCGCCGCCGCAAGGAAGCTGTAGCTCCGAGGAGCAGTGTAGCTGGCCGGAGAGGACGGACGCGCGTGTCGGGTTCTCCAAGAGAGAGGGTGCTTTGCAGATGCCAAGTACCCGGCTCGCACCCGGGCCCCAGCCCTGCGCAGGCTGCTGTGGTGTCGCCTACGAAGCTCTGTAAGGTTGTGCCTCTTGCGGAGGGCTTAAGGTGCAAACCTTAGGGTCCCGTGGCCGGGAGGTCCGGTAGGGAGGTCTGGCCTTGCCTCCCTGACTAGGTTGTGATGTACAACCAGAGACAGCAGAAGATGGTGATCATCAATGGTGGTGTATAATGCAATGGTGATGCTGGATGTGTGATGGCTCTGGTGGGCAGGGCTGAAACAACCTGCACCAGACGTGGGGCAACCCGGTCTGCCAAGGATGTGGGGCACCACCCCAACACGTTGCCCTACGAGGCATCCTCCCTGGCAGACCGGACCATTCGCGGAGTGAGAGCCCTCACAGTAACGACAGGAACAGTGGAATCGCGGTACTTGTCTGCTCAATCCAACAGAAAATCGGCTTTCTCGGAAGTTGAGCCGCCCTGCCAAAGGATCGCGAGATGGCGGCGGCGGCGCAACCTGAGGCAGTGATCGAGGTGGCCGACCGCTCACCCTCACCGAAACGACCGAGCCGCGCCCCGAAACCGAGTGCGAAAGTCCGTGAAGCGATGCAATTGCTGGAGGATGCGGCCATTACGTCGAGAAGAACCGCAATCCATGCTACACGAAGCACCGCATCGAGAGGAACACGCGTACTGGGAAGCGGGAGCGGAGCTAACGGCCAGGCGGAAGCGGGGAAAACAGCGCTCCAAACGCTCCTAGAAGCAATCAACGAACAACAAAACGAGACGCGCGAGATAATTGCCGAACAACGGAACACAATCTGCGAACTGCGCGACGTGGTCAGTAAACAACAAGACGCGATTCAGCAGCTCTGCGAAGAGCTGAAACAAGCCCGCGACGTGGTCTACAAACAGCAAGACGCGATTCAGCAGCTCTCTGAGGAGCTAAGACAAGCCCGAGACCAGATAGACGCCCTCGTACGCAACGCAGCCCCTCCTCATACAACTCAGACGAGCCCAAGGGCGTCATACGCGGAGGTTGCTCGCACGCC